TGCCCTCCAGGGTCCCAGGAAAGTTTCAAGAGCAGCAGCGGGGATTGAGTGAGAGCTGGGCTTCCTCCCTTACTGCCTGGAGGGTGAGCAGGCCATGGCCACTCAATGGAGATCTAGCTCTCCAACTTAGATCCAGCTGTGGGAGAGGCGTGGTGGAGAGGCCAGGCTCCAGGCAGGAGGAAGAACTGGCCAAGACACAGGAGAGGGACAGGGTGGTGGGCCTAGGGTACCCCTACCCCAGCTCTGGCTGCATAAGCAGAGCTCAGAAGGGAGGAAGTCGAAATGGACAGGCAGGGAGACTTCCTAGAGGAGCTGCTGTGGCCTTGAGGATGAGTCCGTGCCAGACTACCCATGCCAGGTTGCAGACCTGGTCCAGGGATTGGCGTGGGCCGTGATGTTCACACAGACCTGGTGCTGTAGGCCCTTCCCCGTGGCTGGGTATCAGCTCACCCTGCCAATAAAGAAGGGGCTTTTCTTTGGTGGAGGTCTGCAATGGGCCGTGTCTTGCCACGTCCTGTGGGCAATGAGAGGTGACAGACTCTCACCTCCCTGCACACTCTCAGCATCCCCAAGGCCAACACAGTGTCTAATTTGGCCAGTGCACGGCCTCAGGATGAGAGCTGGCAAGCCAGATAGGCTGAGGCTATAGCCCCGGATCAATTGCTCATGGCTGTGCATTGAGGTTTCTTAACATCTCTGGGCCTTGGTTTCCTCATCTGCCTTGGCTGCTGAGAGGTGCCGTGAGGCCATGCCTGGGTGCTTATGGAGGCCCTCGCAGGCCATGCCCGACAGTGCTCTCAGCTGCTTCCTCAGTAGGATGAGCCATCCTCCAAACCCAGTCACCTGCCTCTTCCCCAGGTAACCTGGGACCATAACGAGAAATATGCTATGGCCCCAGAGCAGAAATCAGCTGACATCCCCAGAGGATCTCCTTCCTTTTGCCTCTGGGCTCTGCCCAGAATGCACCTCCCACCTGTCCGTTCCTGCCTGGCCCTCCTTCCTGGCCTGCTCACCATGTCCCAGGGCCCACAGCCAACCAAGGCCAGGACACCGGCATGAAGGGCACAACTCCTAATCCTGAGGTATAAGAAGGGGCTTCGTGTCACGGGGAGCTGTGGAGGGAACAGGCAGGCTGCAGGCCGTAGGAGGCCGCCCCGACTCTGCTGCCTTTAGCTCTGGCATCTCTCGCAAGCATCTTTCCCTTACTGGGCCTTGGTTGCATGGGTCTTGTTCTTGTTGGATCATCCGAGGCAAGAGGGAGGCAGCTGATATGTCTTTTGTGGGATTGTGGCCACCAGGTGTGGCCCATGGACATGTCCGTGGGATCTTGCCAGAGAGGATCAGCTCCCTGTGGCTGGAGGTTCAAAGGCACCTGAGAATGAGCTGGCCAAGGGCAGGTGCCAGGCAGTGCCTGCAGCACCAAGGTGTGATCTAAGGGCAGATCCCCATGGGCCCGAGACCTTTCGTAGGGAAGCAGCCTCTGCAGCTCTTCATCCTCCAGACCACGGGCAAAGGAAGCCAAGGCAGGAAGAGTACTCTCAGCCCTCCCCAAAAGTCTGTGCTCCTGAACCTCATCCCTCTCCATAAGTTGTCTTTGCCCAGGTCAGTCTCTCTCCAAAACCTAGAGTCTCCTCAGGTGGCCAGTTTACCCAAGTGGGTGGAAGAGCCCTTCCAGATAGGTCACCCAAAGCTGCAGGACCTGTGACGGAGTTGCAGACCGCCTCGGCTGCACTTCCAGATGGTCTCATAAAAGCAGGTGTTAGTGCTGATGGGGCAGAGAGGGGTAAGTACCACCTTACATGCAGGAGAGTGTAAGATTGAACGTTTATTAGCATTCGTTCTGTGGCAGACATTTCCATGGGCTTCCTGCACCCACCCGTTGAACCTGGGACATGGAGGCTCAGGGGAGAGCTGGCTTACCTGTCAGCCTGTTACCCTGCCTGCCCGTTCCTCTTTCCTGCCTGAATTAACAGCTTTGCGAATTGCACAGAAGGGACTATTGGCCAAGATAGGGCTTCCAGGTCCTCATGCAATGGCCTTGTAGCTTTTGAAGAAGGAGCATTCATGCCCCTCTCCCACTAGCCTGCCCCAGGGGAGGTGGTCTGGCCAGATCCTACCCAATGACCTGAAGCTCTAGAGAAAAAAATCTGGTCGGTTCAGGATGGGGGTTATGGGTTACTTCTTCTTCCTCTTCTCTTAATTCCCAAGGTTTGGTAAGGTGGCCCCGTAGTCACGTTAATGGCAAGTACTGATTTATAGGAAAGCCAAGGGGCTCTCTGAAGCTGCAGCTTTTCCAAGTGGCCACAAGGTGTCAGACTCGGGCCAGATTTGGAAATGCCCTCTAGCGATGGAGACAGCTGGAGCCAGGAATGGAAGGAAGAGAACAAATTCCGCCTGCACTGTGTTCATACTGGGAACCCTGCCTCTAAATAGGGGTTCCAGCATTCTGCACCAGAGCCTCTCAGTTACATCTCTGATTTTAATACAAATGCAATACAGCTCCCTCTCTCAGGAAAAAAGAAAAAAAGGATGCTTCAATAAGCTATTTCAGGTTTAATCTGTTTAATCTGGATATCCACACATCATAAACCCCTGGTGCAGGGGGATGTCCAAAGGGAGGAACTTCCTCAGCCTGCCTCCCTGGTTTAGGTACTGTCAAAATATAGGCAGATAAAAGACTTCAATACGAGCATAAAGATGCAGAAACCACTTATACCACAAACCCACAGAGAGGCCTCTTTGCTTTAGGAAGAATTGTCCTAGTTTTGTCCCTCAGAACCCTCTTCCAGGGGTGCCGCAATTTGTAGTGCTAAAGATCTCTGGGTTATGCTGCTATAATTCTAGAAATGGCCACCAGGTGGCAGCATAACGCCACTTAAGCAGTGTAGTGGAGAAAACCTGATGCTGGGGGTACCCTAGTCTGCTCCTGCATAAAGAAAGATCGAACCAGGTTCCCACCATGGGCTGACCCTTTCTTACTCTTAAGAGACAGTGGAGTAAGATTTTTGCTGTGTAGTATTCCTAACCACTACACCCCAATTTTTGTTGCTTCCACCTGTGTCCCCTATATGCCCTGCCTTAATGTAGTGCTAATGGTCACAGCCATTACACCCCAACTTACTCACCCTTAAGGCTTCTAGTCCTGCCTCAGTGGCACCATGGCTTAACTGCTCCCCAGGGTCTCTCCTTATCCTGATCCCTTTTCCTTGACCCCTACAATACCCTTAATTTAAATACCCTGAGTTCCAAAATCCTAGAATAAAATAGCCCTGGACTAGAGTGAGCTCTCTGGGTTTTTCAAGAGACAGGAATCTGTCAAAGTCTGGATTTGGATTCAAAACACTTGAGGACGGGAGGCTCTGCCTTTCCAGGAATTTGATGTGTGGTATATACACCTTTTCCTTTTCAGCCCCTTAGCTGCCCACTTTGTTGGTCTGGGGGCATCTGATTTGGTGGGCCTCTCCTGAAACTTCTTTGTCTAGCTTGGTGTCAATGCTTTGCCCTCCCTAGACCCATTTTCATCTTGAGACGTCACAGCCAAGTGTCTCCCAAGGGTCTTGGTAGTAGCTCCTTGCAACAGCCAGCCTCTTGCAGCAGACACCAGGGGGCAGAATACACTGCAGAGCATCCAAGCTGCACAGTCCCAAAGCAGAAGAGCCAGCGGGAGAGTGACTGTTTCACCATAGGAATTTTGGCCTGCTATAGACTAATGCTTCTCTGTGTGCCCTACCTGATTCAGGGCCATCAGCATCCCTGCATCCCTCTGGACACAAACGCCTAGGAAGGAGTCCCACATGCCTTCTTCCCATGGGATGAGTCATCTATTCTGTTTGGACACCCTCTCCCACCAGTCTGAGTCCCTATCAAGTCTGACTCTTCCCTGCAGAGAACCCTTTTCTACTCCCCGGATGCCCTATCCCTCCAGTTGAGAAAGGGAGTTCAGATGAGGGTTTGAAAGACAATGGAAGAGGAGAGAATTAAATCCCAACACAGGCTGGTGAGTGGGTAAGATGAACATATACAGCCTCAGTGGCTGAGGTGCAGGGGTGCAGGGAGGGTAGGGATTTGTGGATCTCCGCAAAGTGCACATGTTCTTTCCTATTCCTGAGTCTTTGCTGTGCTGCCTGCTCTCCCTATGGGCTTGAGATTTTACATTCCCGGTGGGATTCAGCGCAATCAAGAGGTGTTTCTATCTGAGTCCTCCCCTAGTTGCTGCCAGCTCTAAGTCTGTGCCTTCACTAGAGTTTTAACCAGCTTCAAAGGGGCTGTGAACCTGGCTAGTCATCCTATCCGTGAATGCCTGCAAGTATCCACTGCCTGCTTCCTGCCAATTACAGGAGTATCCTTAGTGTGTAGCACCATACCGAAAATGTGGGAAATCAGATCGGATGTGACTGGTGAAGGGGGGAAAACTCCCAGTTGAGTCCATACTCATGGAAGACTCAAGAACATGACTTCACTGTGCCACAGCTGTACAGGGAGTACCTGAAAGGGGATTTTTCTGCTCACTCTGGAACCCTGGGCATGTTGCCTTATACCCCACCCCCATTTTACCAGTGCCACGCCCACCAACATTCCAGGGTATCAAGTGACTGCCAAGTGTCACTCTAGTGAAGCTCCGCCCACTCCCCCACCTCATCCACATAGTTCCCACCTCCTAGCTAGCAGGGAGTACTTCCGGCTTATGCCCACACCCACAGATGCCTTTCTGCCGGGTCAGGGGCGGGCTAAGCCTCCACCCCCTAATGCACCATGCCCTGGTGTGAGTAAGTGCCACAGCCAGCCACCCTAGTGGCACCAGCACTACCGAGTTGGCACAAAGCTCCCCAAATTTGGAGGGGCTCAGGGAAAGGAGTGGAGGGGACGAGGAGGTGAGGGGCAAAGTCATAATTTCAGTAGGCATTTGAGCAGGTGCCTTGCTCAGTGGTGTAGAGACTATCCTGCTTCTGGGGGCCCCATTATCATGCACACTCTAAAAGTGCCCTTCATCGTCTCTCCAGCCTCAGCCTCGTCCCCTTCCTCCTCCTCCTCCACGTCCACCCGGCTGGAGGGTCTGGGCACTACAGCCAGAGCACCCCCTACTTTGGCGGCGACTGCTAATATTGGCCCAGCCAGCGGATCATCGTCCGGGCAGTTTCGGCAGAGAGCCTTGGGCACCAGTGACTCCCCAGTCCTCTTTATCCACCGTCCAGGAGCTGCAGGGACTGCGCAGCGACTAGAATACAGGTAACAGCCTCCCTCCCTTGTGCTGAGAATCCTCCGAGTGTGTGAGAAAAGCTGCATTTTGAGGGTTCATGGGTGGGTGAGCTGGGGGCTTGGGTTAGTTGCCAATCGCCTGGATTCTGAAGGGAAGGAGAACCTCTGCTGCCGGAGGGCCCAGCCAAGCTTACCAAGAGTAGTCTCAACTTTCAAGGGGACTGGAAAGACAGTTAGGGAGGGAATTACTCTACAGGGCTTCATAAAGCCACAGAGGCTTTTGCAAGGAAAATAGGGTTTCCTTTACTAATCTACCAGGCAAAATGGGAGGGGCAGGGGAGGAGACAGGGCTGTCTTCCCAGCAGGGGCTCACAGCTGTCTTTTGCATGTGTAAAAGTTAGGATTTTTCTGTGTGAGAAGTTTCATCTTGCTGCACACCCCACATCCCCATCCCCAAATCAAACAGGAGACGGGGCAGAGAGGCCTGGGGCCCGAAATTCTGGAGCAGGAATTTTTTGTTTTGTTTTGGTACCATCTCCCCGACTTCTTACATCTCCTGATCATCACCAAGAAGTTGGAAAGAAGAGTGAGAAGCGCCATAAAGGGACAGTACCCCTTGATCTCCCAGCAAGGTTTTTAAAGTCAGGGTTCGCTCTTCCTATGTGCTCTGGTTTCCCTGCCCAGAGAATGAACACTGGGGCAAAGGCAGATTCCCCCCAATATATTCATTTGTGCACGAAATGTTCTTCTCCTGCACCCTGGATCCCAGACTCCTCAATCCTTCAGCATAATGGGGAGAAGGTCATGTCCCCACAGAAGCCCTGCCATCCTGCCCTCAGCTACCTTCTCAGCACAGTCATGTTTACTTGGGGTTTTGCCCAGGGCCCCTCATGGCTTTTTCAAGGTGAAAGTGTTGGAGACCGGAGGAGGAGACATTCATACTTTGCGCCGTGACCCCTCGAGTCAGGGTGTTTGTGTGCAGAGCCCCCCTGCCCAGGGCCCAGTTAGAAGTTCACCCCAGCCAGGAAGGAGGCAGCCCTTCCAACAGAAGGGTCTCCTGCCTCTCAGCTTGTTTTCCAGCTTTACTGTTGGGAAGCCCGATTCAAGGTGAACTTCTTGCTATTTTCTCCCTTCCTGGTACTTTGAGAAAGGAAGAGTCAGAGGAACAGGAGGGGAGCGGGTGCCTTGGCCCTGACAAGGTGACCCACAGTCCTCCCCACCCACTGATCAGTCAGCAGGGAAGAGACCAGAGCTTGGGCTGGGGGAGGGGTGGTGTTTTTAAAGAGATAATTTCAGAAGCACCCTTCTGCTTTTTCCCAGAGGCCGAAGAGTCACCGCTGAGCTTGTGCGGGAGGAGGTTGATTCCAGCCTTCAGCCCCAGAGCCCTGCATCTCCTCCAGCTCAGCTCCCTGCCCAGCCTATCCCCCAGACGGAGCCCCAGCAGGCCAGAGAAGCCCGAGAACCCAGCCCTGAGGTGAGCTGCTGTGGCCTGTGGCTCAGGTGGTCCCCACATTCACAGAACTGAGGCCAGCAGCCAGCCCCAGCCCGAGAGGTGAGTGTCTCCTGTGCACTGGGGATAGCAGAGATGTCCAGTGGTGAAGGTCCCATGGATGAGGCTCTGTGAGGGGTCTTGGAGCCACCAATGCAGATTTGGACGCCCGAGCACAGGTTTGCCAACAACCCCACGCTTTACAAAGAGCAGAGGCTCAGAGAGGCTGGTGGGTATATTCAGAGTCACACAGCTGGTTTCTGGAATTCAGGTGGTGGGCTCCAGGCGCCTCTCTCCCTGGGGCCCAGGTGTGGGCATAGCAGGCTCTAGTAGTCTCTACAGCATCAGCGGTCCTGGAGAGGAGCTCCTGGGAGAAAAAGAAGGGCAAAAGGAGTTGAAGGGAGCAGAGGGAGAAAGCAGGGGTCAGTGTGAAGACTGGGAAGAGGAAGAAGGCTAAAGGGAGAGGGGAGGAATTGGGAGATCTGAGGAAAGCTGGGCTCAGCTAGGGGCTGTGACACCACAGTTCTCCCTGCCTAGGTCTGCTAGGCTGTGGGACCTCACACCAATGGCTTGCTCTCTCTGTATCTGTTCTTATTTGTCCAAGCGTGTAAAGTCTCAGGACTCCGGATTGTTTAGAACAGTGAACAGCAAATGAGGCAGTGACCTAAGAGGCATCCTGAGAGCTGCGAAGGGCCTCACAAGCACCGGTGTCACGATTCCATTGTGTTCAGGAGGGCGGTGGGGGGGGGGTTTCCTGTGTGAGTGTGAGTGGGGGTGGGTGACTAGAAATGCCCAGAGTCCAGAGCTCCCGCTGACGCTCTGACTCCACTGCAGCAAGCTCCTGGTGGTCGCGCGGCAGTAGCTCACTAGTCAGGTACTGGGGTGAAGTGGGGGGGCTCTGGGTTTTAGGGGAGCATTGGAGGTGGGAGGCATGTGAGTTAATGTCCTTGTGCCTGATTCAGAAGCCAGCCACAGAGGGCTCTCTGCAGAGGCAGCAGGGGGGCCCAGCAGGTGACCTCCTTCCTGCAGGTTTGCCCCTTCCAGAGAGAAGTCAAGGAGGTTCTTTTAAAAATGTCTTTTAGTCCAGATGCTTAACAAAATAGCAATATTGCACTGAGCCTCGGTCCTTCCAGAACACATCAGCCTAGCCCCCTCCCTTGGCTCTCTCACCCCTACCCCCAACCCTACCCAGACCTACTTTCAGATTTTGGATCATTGATCAGCCACTGGGTGGTTTGTGCCGTTCAGTGTTCCTGGTTCTGGTTCGGGGCATCCACCTCTGGCTTCCTGGAAGGCGGAGTCCTTCCCAGAGCAGCACAATCCGAGCCTCTAGGAGCCTCCAGGAGCCAGCACTCTGCAGGGGGTGAGGGAGGGGTGCTCAGGGGACCCTCAAAGAATGGAGCTGGGTTTGCAAAATTCTGGCCTTGGCCCCAGGAACAGGGGAATGACCAGCTCAGAGTCAGAGTCAGGGGAGGAAATGGGGAAAAGAGAAAGGCCTAGGGCAAGGCCGGGAGCTGGAGGAGCCGCAAAGTGGGACCAGGAGTGAACTGAGCCCAAGGGCAGGGCAGAGGGTCAGGCTCCCTGGGAGTGAGTCCAGATCTTTCAGGGGGATATTTCTCCTCTTTGGATTTGAGTCATGACGTCCAGAGAGGGTAGCACTGCCGCGGAGCGGAGCAGAGCTGTAGGAAGGATATTGCTCTGGGCCAAAGTTCCTGCCAACCAAGCTGAGGGCCGAAGGAGACCCTAGCCCCATCCTCCAACCCCTCCCTGCCCCCCACATCCTCAGGCTACTGAGGTAGGACCTCAGTAGGACCCTTCCTACCTTGGGAAGCTGGAAGTAGGGTGAAAGGAGAAGTCCTTGGGGAAGAACTGGCTTGGTCCTGGCTGGGGGCACAGCTGTCTTGCTTTTTGAGCCCAGGATGACCCAGATCTGCCCCAGCCTTCAGCCTGCCCCTTTAGCCACACTTTTGACTAAATAAGGCCAGGGCTCAGCAGGCAGGCTCTTGGGGGAGGGGTAACATGTGCGCCCCCTGCCCGCCTGCCCTGGCAGGCTCATGTCCTGATGGCTCTGCTGTGGGAACCCCAAGGTGACCTCAGAGTTTTCCTACCTCTTGAAGTCCAGGCGTGCGAGCGTCTCCAAGCATGGGCGGTGGCTTCTCCATGGAAAGCACTTCTGCAGGGCAGAAAGCAGGGAAGTGGCCCTCAAACAGCCCATTGGTGTGATTGCCCCCGCCCCAGGCACCCCAGAGAAGAGGAAAGGCCTGAATACTGAAATGGGTCTCTCACGCCAGTGACGTCTCCAGCCTGGCCTGATCAGCAGGCCTGGAGAAAAGTGGAGAGACCTAGACCTGGGCAAAGGGAGTGAGACCCTCAGCAAGGGTATAAAGTCTACTCTAGCCTAGAAGGGACTCTGGATTGCAAACAGGCACTTTTTAAATGCTCCTCACCTCCAAATTTACAAGCCGCCCCAGAGTGGGGAGCAAAGGCAACACAGCAGAGGCTCCCTGCTGGAGGCTCTCTCCCTTCTATAGGCACACCCTGATGGGCCAGAGAGCCTGGGACAGAAGGCTGCAGAGGCTGGTGGAAGGGGGGAGGGGGCAGTGCTGGGTGGGGGGGAGACAGGCCAGATGTTCTTGGAATGGGACACGGGGGTGATTGATGCAGACTGGAATTTGAAGGGGGAACATTCCCCACGTGCCTTGTGCTCGGGTGGAAAATGGGCTGTTTTTCATGGTGGGGGGAGTCATCCTGTCTTGCCAAGCTAAAGTGAAGGAGGTGCCTGGGTCCTGCCTGGATCCTCACACCTGTCCAATGGTGTTAACCCCTGCACCCCCAAAGTGTCAAGCTTTGAGATCTCCCCTTCAGCGAGGGTCCCTTCATGGGGTGACAAGCACTGCTTACTGTATTTGCCCCCAGGATACCCACCATTCCATTGCTTCTACCCCACAGGTCCGCCTGAGATCGCTGTCCCCCCCACTTCCAACATTGCCCAATGCTAAGGGGGTGACCTTGCTCCAGCCAGCAGAGGCAGCTCAGCGCGCCTGCGTGCTGCCCTGCCTGCGTGTGGGCTCAATATTTGCCTTTAAGTATCTGAACTGAACTTTCCCTAGCCTGGATGGTGGAGACTTTTCGTAAAAATTCTTTTCAAAAAAACAAAAGAAGACCCCTGGCACTCCTGCAGCCCTGCAGTCCTATGCGCCCCCATTTTTCTCTTTTTCTTCCCTATTTCCTCTCCCTTTCTCATTAGCAAAACAAGTTGGTTTCACCGTTGTTCGGGGCTGTCGAAGGCCCGAAGGGCGCGCTGGGAGCGTCCAGGCGGGCGCAGGGGGGGCCGCCGTGGGGGCGCCGCGGCCC